ATTTTTTCTTATTTAGACGTAGGTCATTTATACCCATTTCTCTGGCCTTTTGAAAAAAAAAAAATACTGTGATAAATGTTCTTAAAAATATTGTTTGTGACAGAGCTATTGGCAGTACTGGATTTACATATGAGCTAGACTTAAGGGGTCCCAAATATTGGACCGCTGATAAAAGTAAAAAAAAAAAAAAAAAAATGATATAAGAACTGAGATGTTTTATTTTCTGATTTAATGGGGTTCCTTTGAACTAATTTGAAACAATTTGGGTCCCTCTAATTGGAGCAGGTCTTTTAAAATTGACAAGCCCCATTAGATTTTGATGCATCTTTTTACATACATATTTATTAAAAATTTTAGATGAAGTGTTTCATGATTTACACTAAAAAGGCAACCTCTAAAAATATATCTTTTTTTTTTATAGACACAGGGGAGGGGGTGAACATACATAATGAGGGAGCCCCCAAATTCTATTATCCCAGGGGCTTCTTAAGGCTTAAATCTGGCTCCATTTATTGGTGTAGATTTTTCAAATAAGTGAATCTATAATTCATGGCTGAATAATAAACTGAATAACCCAGATTGTTAAGTCATGTGTTTTGTGCATGGAATAAAGTTTTAACTATTAGGAACAGGGGCAACCACTTGTTGCTAGAAAAATGACACTAGAGACCAGGGCCATGTGCATGCTACCCTCCCCCTTTACTGGAGTGGTTTAAGCTTGATTGGACGCCCCGGGCAGTACTTTGTGACTTTTGCTATTTTATCAACATTCACATTTGTCTACCTATTTTTATATAGGTTACAAATTAAATCAAGCACAATTATTAAAGGATGAAAAAATTTTGATTTTGATATAATTCTGGGTTTTTTCTTTTTTGTTCAAATCTATGGTTTTTGTTAAGTTTCAAAAAACACTAAAAAATTCAATTTTTTCTCCATAATGTTAAATGTGTTAAAATTCAACACTTTCTAACAAACCACAAAACACTATTGATTTAGGATGGAATGATTTATTATGACGTATCTCTAATTTGTATTTATTTTCAGTTTTTCTAGTTGAATTATTCACCTATATTGCATATGATCCATTGTGCATAATTGGGTTACAATAAAATTTGTGTTTTATATGAAGACAAACTTATGAAAATGGAGACATAGCAGAGTGAGGTGGGAGGACTTTATCATAAATTTGGTGGAGCTCACAAGACTTTTGCACTGGCTCCAATTGAGATCAACTAGCTGGCCCATGCTAAGTTGAATTTTAGTTAAAATTCAATATTGGAATCTTATTTCTTTTTAATACTATCTACCATTCTGCTTTGTTTGTTGGGGTCAAGAATTCTGCTGACCCTGATTGCATGTGACAGGAGAATGACATCATCAAAACATTTCTCCTCAGATCTAGTTACTATGCACATATGCAAATCAACTTGTAACCTGACACCTGAAAGAAATGTATTTTCTATAAAGTTAGGAACCCCATCAGACAAAATGAGACAGTCACCAGCAGTTAGGGGACTATCAGGATGAAATATAGAAGAATAGCTGAGATAATCACCTATCCCACTACCCTTTGCAAGATACTGAAGAGAAGAATTTGGTCAACGAAAAAATATTTGTTTGAAGACAAATGACTAAGTGGAAGAATTAGAGAACAAATTTTGGAGACCAATGTTGTCTACAAGTTCAAGATCTAAGTTCCCTAATTGAATTATTCAACTACTAGTCACTAGTCTGGGGCATTGCTGTTTTTGCAATATGTCAAATTGGCTATAATCAGGTAGACCAAAGTACCACAGAATTGAGAAGGATTAAATCAATAACTGTAACCCTTGGCAAATAAACTGTTATAATTTCAACAAGCAAAAGTCAGTTGTCTGTTCTGAAAGCCATTTCCTTTTTATTTTCCTTGGAAATCACCCTCTTTGTTTTGACCAGTTTCACTGGAAACTTCCTAAGATTAAAAACTTAAAATAATGTACATGGGAAAGATCAATGAGCAGATAGATGACCAGACTGCAACTTGAGGATGGGTAGTTGAGAAATGAATAGCTTATAATCAATTAAGCTCAAATCTTAGACATATCAACCGTTATTCACTTGCAAAATACAAGGAAATGCATATCTTCCTCTTTCATAAAAGCATAAAATTAAAACTTTTATCACAAGGAAAAACTTCATCTTTTGGTGCAATTATGACATCTTAAAAAGCAAATATTATCTAAAAGCATCAACAAATTAATGTTAAGGAAATCTGATTTGAAAAATGATATTTTTTGATTTTAGGGATTTAAGTAAATAGGATTGAAATTTTATTTTTTCGGTGAAGAATTTATTTAAAACGTAATTAATTTGGAACAAACTTTTATATTAACTTTGTAACATTTTTTTGGAAATTGAAAACTGAAAGATTCACATTTTGTGAAATCTTGAGTTTACCTGTTGAAAACTCTTCAATTATTTATATTTTATAAAACATTCATTGTGTGCAAAATAGACAGCATTTTCCTCTTGTTTATAATCTGGGAATTCTTTGAAGTTGAAGAATTGCTACATTTTCAGTAGATGATTTAACAAAATCTAAAATGATGCCTTAATTTGAAAAAAAAAAAAAAAATCTATTATGAAAATGATTTCTACTTTTGATAGTCATAAAATTGTTTCTTTTCTTTAATAATTCAGAGATAATACTCAAGAGGAAAAGGAATAAAAATGATATTTCTCCTCCGATGTATTTTAAGCGTTGATTTTATATTTTAAACATCTAATTTGGATTGCATCTTACTTATTAAAAAATGCAGATTGTGTGTGTGTGTGTGTGTCTATACGTTTATATATTGGATCGAATTTCCTACATTTTTCAACCAATTTCAACAAAACTTCACAGGACTGCGTAAAATTACCTTGCGGTGGTTCTGACAATGCCAAAAATTGGAAAAACAATTGTTTTTGCATGAAATCAATTTGAAAACACAATTCTGTCGCCAGAATGAAAGTGGAACATCTCATATCGAGTTATACTTATTATAAAACCCAGGTTGTTTGTGTGTGTTCATTTATATATGGGATTGGATTTCCTACATTTTTTAACCGATTTCAACAAAATATCACTTTTTTTTTGGCAGGTAGTGTTTCTTATTGTCTTGCACACTTTTTTCTTTATTTTTACATTCAGAATGCTTTAAAAATTCCATTTACAAGACAATTGTTTATAATAAAATTCTATTCAATCGATAGACTCATAACGATTGAAAACAATGTTTTTCTTTGGGTTTGACCAATTCATAAAAAAAAAAAAAAAAAAAAAAAAACTAATTAAGACATGCGTGTCCGTCAACCTTAAACAATAATCTTTGTCAATTTTATTTTTCAGTCTTTATGATGGTCGATACTTGATCTATCTCTTACTGTTACATCCCCGGGCAATGCCGGGCTCTACTGCTAGTATTTTATAAGATACACACAACTCTTACATATATAAAACAATTTAGAAACTATTAAAATTGTTTCCAAAATGTTGGATATAATTTTCCATTCTGTTAGGACTAATATTGGATCAAATCTATATGTCTGTTAAAGGCTATTTAAAACAAGTTTAAATTTGCAAAGTGTTTATTTCATAGAGTTGAGAAAATAAAATCAATTTGCACAGAAAAACAATCACTTGATCTGACTAATAACAAAATGTATCTTTCAGAGGAAATCAATTATTACTGTTACTTTGCATGTAAAAAGCTTAAAGATAAAAAGTCAAACATTCCATATGAAATGCCAGATTTGTGATGATCCCTAATGTGGAATAGCTTACTTTAAATCAGGTTGATAAAGTTTTCTTTCTTTTATCACAATATCCAAAAGAACTCCTTATTTTATGTTTACACCAATATAGAGTTAAATTTAAAAAATATTTTTGTTAGTTTTAACTATAATAGGCATTACATCATGTCTAATAGCCTGTCATTTTGTTTGTGAAACTGTAAGCTCATGCAAAAAGGTAAAAATAATAATCATGCAAAGCCATAAAAAGCAACAAAGGACAAAAGCAATAAAAACTGTTTGAGGAACGGTGAATTATTTATTTCTGGTATTAAGAATATTGTCATATAATAATGATAGTAATAATAATAATAATAATAATTCAACTTTTGAGTGAATAACCAGGCAGGAGAGGCAGCTGTGGGCACACCACCTACAAAGGACAGACAAAAGAAAAAAAGGATCTGCAACATTTGAGCCGTTGCCAACCTTTTCTTCCCCCTCTTACAAAAATGCTTGCTGATTGCAGTATTCAACAACAATAAAATAAGTTGTAACATAAAAAGAATTGAACAGGGATCTCAGTTTATGTTGTAGATTTTATTTGATGTTCTGCAGTCCTTTTAAAAAAGGACCTACTGTTGAAGGTGGTAAGAAATGCAATTCAAAAACCAATAGATGCATTCACAAGATGCTCACTCGAAAGAAAGCAATTAACCAGGACAAATAACCTGTTAGCAATTGTTTAACTTGTTCATTCATGTGCTAACCTCATCAAATGTGGACCACAAGTTATCATTTTGCCATTTGTGAGACTAAGTTTCTGAGAGCTTTTGATTCAACAACAAGTCACATTTTTAAGGCTACATATAAAGTGAAAGGGAAAGTGACCTATCGGATCCAGGGTTGGTAGTATTTTTTTTCCTTTAGCCCAAATGCTAAATCTGCTAGGTGGTGGTTAAATTAACACAAACATATTCACATGAGATCTTTTACACACAAAATACTATATAATTTATTTATAACTGTATGCCTTTTTTTGTTAGTAAGAAGACATCAATTGACAGTGTCCAATTCTGTTTACAAAACTACACTGGTGTTCACATGCCCAGAGAAGACTTAAGCAGATCATCACTCGGGGGTAGATAGGAAACCGAAAGCAGGCAAGGTTGAGGGTTACATTGGCTCCGACGCCTCTTCAGCCTGCTCTTCACCCTCTCCGTTTAACTGCATGATTCTACTGTTTATGCCTCTGTTGAAAAAAGAAAAAAAAGCATTAGAAAATGGTTATATATTGATTTGGAATTTACTCACAAATGATTATTCTTAAAACTATCAATCATTTGTAAGTTTTTCTACAGAAAACCAAACAACTTCAAATTTTGCTTGCCAATAGGCATTATGTGAAATGTAAAATGTTACAATTTTATTCAAGATTATATCCTTCCAGTAGTAATGCGTATGACCTGTTTAGTTAATGTGATTAATTCAATAGCTTGTTTTATGAAAATTATTATGAGAAATAACAGATATGAGTTTATAAAAATGAAAATTTTTGATTGGTTCATAAATTCTTTGCTAATTTTTATTTTTTAAGCAGAGTATATACTTTCTTTGATGTAAACATCACCTTCCTAGTTTTATCAAGTGCTAGTACCATACGCTGAAAAAATATTACTTTTTAGAATATGGAAAAAGCTTAAGTGTTAAGCATATTTATGTCAAATAAAACCAGACATCACTGGTTTTGAACTTGAGAATATTAAATTCATCATCATTATTAACTATTAATATGAGAGAGTAAGCATTTAAGATGATTAAAAACAACTATTTAACTAAAGAAAAAAAATGTATAACCTCCAAATATAGTGGGAGAAAGCAACTTTAATGATCTGCTATAGGTTCAATGAAAATTGATGTGAATATATTTACCTTCCGCTGGTGCTTCTTCTTCTTCAATTTTGTCATGTTTATGTCCTGAAGATTTCAAGGTGGTACGGAAGTCATCCTTCTTTGTTCTCTCCAACTTGGCGAGCCTAAGGAAATAGATGTAAACAGTACAATGATAGGCACAAGAAATGTGGCTTTTAAATTTAGCAAAGAATATTTATTGCTTCTATGTTTAAAATCATAAAAATGGTAATTTTGATATAAACAAATCTGCTTTCGTGAACTTGTGTAAATCAGAAAAAATGCACTGCTTAAACAAAACTGAGCAGCTTTAATGAAGTAAATATCAAATTAAATTACAACTGTCTTTTAAGTGAAAGTTTGCAGGTGATGTGAATTATTTTTTAAAAGACAAACAATTTTGTTATATTTGTAGGTATTCAGTAACAGTCAGTTTACTGGCATTATCAAACTCATCTCACAAGCCTTCAGTAGACAGTGATGATCCTTGATCCATATAATCTTATGCTAAATCTGATTAAGTCCAATAAATCAAAATTTGAAGTTAAAAATAAAAAAGAAATGTACATATTATCTGTCATGTTGAAATCTGTATTAAGCAGCTAAAAATTTCAAAGTACACTTACTTGGCTTCTGTCTTGGATATTTTTCTAAGAACAGGTTTAACACTGCAAGAGAAACAAATTTTCATGAAACTAAAAATTGTTTTTGGAAGGTAGCTGTATAAATTATATCCACTTTGCAAGATAAACCTTTCTAAATGAAATTTTGTACATTAAATAAAAGGATTAAGGAAAACAAAAAAAAGGTGACTTTTTAAGACCTTGTATTCTAAAATCAGAAGAAAAGAGTCTTACAGAAGAAACATTACAAAGATGAGAAATTAAGTTCAGTGAAAAAATTGAGAATTAACAAAAACAAAAAGATGCTTACAATTTTCCCCTGGTGTCATTGACTTTAAGGGTAAGATCATTAATCTGAAATAAAAAATTCGTTTTTAGAATTTTAAATAAAAAAGTAACCTATTGTTCAGTTAAAATAATTTTCCACTTTATTCAAACATTTATTCAAATTTTTTATTATTATTAGCTTTTAAAAAGAAAAATCCTTTAATACATAGTGAAATAAAAATGTTTAAAAAATCATATTCTTTTAACAAAAATATCATTAGATATTCAAAAGGAGAGAAATTAAGTGCAAGTGTGATAAACATTAGATTGAGTATGACTATTTATTTCACTACATTGATATTTCAAAAGATTTTTCTCAAAATACTAAATTAATATAATCATCTTTTTTGTTAAAATATTGTAAAGATCATATAGTTATTCAAATTCTAATTCTGAGCAGTTGAGTTTTTAAAAAGTAAGAAAGATGTTTAACTCAATTTTAATTGCAACAGGAAGAATATCAATAAAATGATAAAATAAATATGTTGACAGCCTAAATGGACACACCTCAAATTCTTGTCTTCTGAGTTTGAATTCCCAGTCATAGACTTCTTCTTCAAGTTCTGCCATTTTCCCATGAAGCTTCTTAACTAGATCTTGCATCTGAGCTGTAATAGGAATTATATATTCAACATACAAGCTAGGAATATTAATGTGCTGCAGTAATTAGGCACAAGACTGTCTTACCTGGATTGTCTTTTCTAACAAGAAGGGTAGAAAGAGAGAGAGAGAGAAAAAGAGTTAAACAAAGATACTAAAAGGTAAGGTTTATTTTTAACTGCTGTACATGCAAAAGAAAAAAAAAACTTTAAAAACAATGTAAGAAATCTTAACAGAAGTCTAAGTTCTAAGAAATTGCTTCATATCAAGCAAAAAGGCAATAAATAATAGGATTTTCATTTTTACTGTAAAAATCCAAGTTTTAAGATTTATTCCAACAAGTGGAATATTTTTTTAATTAAATGATTAAAAACATGTATGCAGAAATGTGTATTTCTTGGATGTAAACCTATTATAATTTCCATTAAATGCCAGAGTTCCTGCTGGGTACAAAAGAAATAAAAGGTTAGCATTGCAAAAGAAAAAGATTATGGGCAAAGGGCAAAAGAAGCTAATCTGAAAAATAGAAATGAAGAGATTTGTTTTTAATACACTACATCATGCAGCAATCAATTGAACTAATTTACTCTGTCAGCACATATTTAAAAGAATTTTCATGAAAGTCTAAGAGATTTCAAATAGAATTTTTTTTCATCTGAACACCTCTGTAGAGAAAACACTCACATACAATATTACAAAGTATTAAAACATTAAAAATTCTGACTAAATTAAAAATATCTTTAAAAAGCCAATATGACAGAGTATATTGGGTTGAAACAAAAGTTTGTGGCATTTGAACAAGATTTCATTACACGTGACTAATATTTATGACATACATCTTCTGAAAGATGACATTTTAATATCTTTGAATAAGATTTGTGTATTTTTATGTTAAAAAGGGGGGAAAATAGAGGAAAATTCTATTTTAGTTCCAGAAAGGAAGGTTTAAAAAATAGAAAATATGTGCCATTTATAAAGATGGTGCCATAGCTGAAAATACTCTCTAAGTGGTTTACTAGGATCAGAAGTGGAAATTTTGATATGCAGTTGTTGATGATAAACAAATCAAAATGTTGACTAAAAATAACCCTAATCACATGATATATAAGTATTGTAAGGCATTTGAAAACACTTAGATACATGAATCACTATGTTAGGGTGCTTTACAATTTTATGGGGAGGGAGAGAGAAATATGAATGGACCACAGTTCCATCCATGATTCTCTGCTCAAATTCAATAAAAACAATCCATTTTTGAAAGAAAAACGATCATAGACAATGAAAAATGGATTATTTCTAACAATGGGGAGCTAAAAAGGTCTTTTGGAAAATTAAATGCACCACTGTTAACCATTCCGAAAGCCAGTCTGCATCTGAAGAAAATGATGTTCTGTATCTGGTAAGATTGGAAAGACATTGTATATTATGAACTGCACCTGCAAAATCATATTGAATTCAGATAAGGATCGTTCTTAACTGGACCAATTAAAAAGCAGCAATCAATGAAAAGTATCCAGAATTGGACAATTGGAAGAGGGTTGTCTTCCATCAAGACAACACTAGACTCCATGTCTCTTTGAAAAACTGACATAAATTGGTACAGCTTGGTGGGCTTTACATCTTCAGATTACCACTTATTTTGATGCCTACAAAATTTTCTTAATGAGAACTTCAATTCTCTGGAAACCTGTAAAATCCACTTAGACCAGTTTCACACCCAGAAAGATGCCAAATTCTGCAAGGACAGAATCATGAAACTGCCTCAAAGGTATTGGGACAAAATGGTATATATGCGGTTGTATAAACCTATGTACACATATTCTAAATATTGTCTTTGATATTCATCTAGAAAAATGCTGCAATCTTTTGTTCCAACCTAAAAATTATAATTACCGATGTTATTAAAAAGATAAAAAAATAGAAACAGAAATTTCCTTATAACAATTTAGAAAATTATCAATTGGTTATACACACATCTTCAAAATTTCAAATCAAAGTTTAAATAAGTTTCTGCTTAGTTTGCAAAACAGTATCTACAGAAGGTTAGTTTTATTCTTGGTTACTTCATATAAATGTTAAGAGATACTGAAAAAAAGCTAAAAATTCAAGATACAACATAAAAAAATAAATTAAAAGAATATAAAGAAACGCTGACTAAAAAGTAATAAGATATTTAAGGCTTAACTAACATGAGTATTGTAAATATTCATCTTTGGAAATATCAAGATAATCAGATAAAAACTAAACATTATAATGGAAAAAAAAAATTTTGTTTCCCAAAAACAAAACAAAAATGTGATTCATTTATTTATCAAGATTCTTTTATTTCTTTGAGAACTGTTGCTGATTAAAAGCACTAGTACTTTATTATTTTCTGGAAAACTTTAGTAGATCCATCTTCATAGTGCTATCTAAGAAATCAGGTGCAACTGGATATGACTTGCATTCGACAATCAGCACATAACCAAGCTAATAATCTGAATTCTGATGGATAGAGCACAAGACAGTTTTTCATGTATGCAAACAAACAGGCTAGCAGCATTAACAATTAATTTTGATCCTTGTGATGCCAAACCAATCTACTTAGAAGAAAATGAAAATTCACATTATCCAATTTGTTATTTTGAAAATAAGTGAAATAAAAAAATAAAATCTTAGTCATTTATATAAGTAGATCATCTCACATTAATAATGTAATCTTTACTTTCAGTGCTCAAGTTATAATAGACATACTACATATGAACTTTAGGCTTCTATTGCAACATAAAATTTAACCTTTTATTCAGTCAATTAGTGTATTAAAAAAGCCAAAAAAAAAAAAAAAAAAAAAAAAAAAAAGAAATGGAACCAAACTGCAAATGTAAGTCATGATGTAAAATGATTAACAAATCCAAAAATATCCTTTCCACCTTATAAAGTTTTTATTACTGTTGTGGAAGTTGAAGTTTTCTACAGGAAAAGATTCATCTGAGGCTTTCCAATTTTTCTTATTGTAGTCCTTGCTATGCATTGGTTCCCACAGGCACAAAATGAACTGTACACAGTTGCTTTGTACTAAATACTGAAATTTTACAATATGTTTTCATGGAAGTCAATAGGACCTAATGTCTTTTCAGTTACAGGAAAAAAAAAACAAAAAAAACTTAATGAATCTGGTTTCAAAATTAAAAGTTCCAATTTCTTTCATTTTATGATACAATGATACTTCAAACTTGCATTTTCATGTTAGTCATTTTTTATCACAATGTTTTAATTACTGTAGCCTCAGGCCTTCTTCTGGTGTTTGTCACCTTCAGAAAATACTCTTTAGGGTGAGAATATACTGTTTTCATTTTTGTTTGCACCAAAATAATGTATTCGTGCATATCTTGAGTTAGTGATTAAACTTAAAACTTTCAAACAATATGACTAAATTTTTTATTATTTTATTTTTTTTACACAGTAGGCTATGTGAGACACGAGATTCATTTTCCTTTAAAATGGCACATAATAGTATGTAATTTTTAAAAGTCAGAAAAAAAATCCACACAAGTGAAATTTAAAACTCCCTAATTGCATTTATTTAATAGAAAAAAAAATGCAAAGTTGAAAAGGAGGGAATCTGATTCGAAATAAGAGCAAAAGGGTAAAAATAAAACAAGCACTTATATTAAACAGACATGCAGTCAAGGTTTGCTGTCTTAAGTCTTGAGAAAATTAATCAATACTAAAATTTTTACATACAAGTAAATACATTGAATATAATTATTTGGACAGTACAGTTTTAATTCAGCTGGATCATTATTATTATTATTAGTAGTAGTAGTAACCAAAACTATTGTAAATGTCTGCAGTAACTTGCTTTTCTCAATGTTCATAGAGAATTATTAATTAAAAATGAATGAAAATCTGATATTCCAACATAATTTTAAATTCTTAAAAGAAAAAAAGGGGAAGAAAAACGCCTTCTTTTCTTCACTTTTTAATTTCAGTCTTTACAATATTTTGTTAGTAACAACAAAATTATTTCAAGTTTATATGGTACATGCAACCGAATTATGAAGATATATTTCTGATAAAGCATAAAGTTTCATATAACAATTGGAGATTTCTTTCTGCATAACAAGAATAAAAGAGTTGTAATTATTTACAGGAGTTACACTGAATATAAAATGTTGGGGACAAGTGCAAGGGAAAATATTTGGTGGGTTGGCATCCCCCTGCAAGCAGTAGAGGTGCACACATTGGCATGCACGGCACACAGCAGGCAGTGCCTACCTTCATTGAGACCATCAGTAGCCAAAGGTTCAACCCTTGAATTAATGAAGTTCTCCCTTTCTTCAGCTTTCCTCTTGGCCTCATTTTTCAGATCTTCAGCGGCCTTTTGCATAATAAGTTTCTACAAACAGACATAGTAGTGGTCTTCATTTGACTGAAGGAAAATCAATACTGATAAATTGTACAAATAAATGAAATGAAATATAAAGATGAGTTTGATGAAAATAAAACACTAAAATACATTTGAATAAAAAAAAGCGTAGATTCCTAAATAGATACCCAAGCAACAACAAAAAATTAATCGACATTAGTGTAATATGAATATCCTAATATCAATGGCTTTTCATCGTCAGATGGAAACAAGTGCAGGACTGTTTCTTTTGTTGTTTTTCTTTGATCCCTTCCTCTATCCAATTTTAATTTGAGCTTACTTCACATGCACTGCATAATTTGAAATTGTATTACATAATTAGCAGGTAACAATATATTCATTTATAAAATATTTTGGAGTATTTGGTAATTAAAAGTAGAAAAAAAATTGTATGCCAAAATGACCAGTTTCAGTTTGTGAATAATTTAAAAATATTTTTACAGTAATTTCTTTTTAATAAATATGCAAAGCAAATAAATTTATTTCAACTATTTTTATTAAAAAAAAAAAAAAAAAAAAAACAGATTTAATTTTTCTTTTCTCTGCTATCATTCTATGAAGTTAGCATAGTTGAAGGTAAAGAGGAATAATAAATCCTTTGTCCTATAAGAAAAAGATTTGAGCATTGGGTTTAAAAAATAAAAATGATAGAAAAAAAAGACATTTTAAAATTAATGGTCAACCAGGATATCAAAACAGACAGGATGGGGGAAAAATAGCTAGAAAAATAAATTCACCAGATATTTGACAGATGAAGGCATGTATATGGAAATTATAAAAGTACATTGCTACAATATGACAAAGAATTTAATGACATTGAAATAACAATGTTTAATCCATATGTAATCATGCAACATGCAAAAATAAAGTACTGTATATTCTCACACACTCTGCATTATCATGGCCACACAAAATGTAGATAAACTGGGAAGGTGGTACTGTAAATAGGATCAAATAAGAGAATTATGAAATGCTAACCAGTATTTCAATGTATCATAAGATTTATAAAATACAATATGTAGACATCATAAGGGGAACAATGGCAATAATTTGTGATTCAATTGATCACAACAGGACGTATATTTGGCTTAATACTCAAGTTTAGTTCAATATAAACATAAATCTGAACTGAATACAATATTTCCTTGAATAATTTCTGGTTGACACTATTCAATAAAATCACAATGAATGTAGAAATATTGCATGTCAACCAGAAAATTGAATACGCCAAACCTATGTAGCTTGAGGAATCATATCACCACACAAGTATTTTCATTTATCTCTGGCAACCAATCCTAATGTTGTAATGTCATATATAAAGTAAACATTCTCAATAAGTAAATAAAACAAAAAGCATTTTCTCTATCTAATAAAAGAAAAATTGATAAACTACACATTCAAGGAAATACAATATCCAGGTTTATTATGAGAATTTATGAACAATTACGAAAAACATTTAAACTAAACATGATGGGCTGCTCTGGTTAAAATAGAAGATAGTTACCAGTTAAGCAGCACCGACAGCGATAATATTAAATTAATATTCACTTAGGAATCACAATACCTTTACTTAGTTCTTCAAGGTTGTCAGGCAAAGGAATTATACGTTCAGAAAGAACTTGTCTCTTCCTCTCTTCTTCATCAATTTCATTTAAGTCTAGGTGATGTACTTGGTTTAACTGCAAGGATTTTTCTCCTACAGGCAGGGATTCATGAGGAGGCTATTTACAAATAAAAGACAAATGCCCATGCACAATATAACTATATCAGCATGCAACACACATTGCTATATTACCAATATCTAACCAGAATAGAAGATATACAAGCACAAGAAAGACATAAGTTACTACGAGACTGGAACTATTCATAATACATCTAATATAAAAATGCAGAAAATGAATTTGAATGTATGATAGGAAAAAAGTTAGAAGTAGCCTACCTGAAAATAAAAACTCAATCAATTCAAGTGTCCTCACATAATAAAAAATATGAGGAATTTTTTCATTGAAATATTGATACTCAATTTCAAGAAATAATAATCTTACTCAGCTATGATATTGAAGGTGATAACGTCTCAGCATATTGCAGAATGAATTCTATACTAAATGTACTAGTATCAGCTGGTTATCAAGTGGTATATTAATTTCAAATATGATAATGAATCTTAAATATAAACCACTGCTTTAATTCAAATGTCAATTCCAAATAATTCAAAATCAAATTGGATTTTGTGAAAGATATCAAATTTCAAAAATAAGACTGAGATTTTTGCTGCTAGTATATTTGAGAATTTTAAAATATCTCAATGTAGACTACTTCATCAAAAAGGTTTTGATTATGAAAAAATTTAGTATAAGGATTATTTGCTCAATAGAGTACCTCAGAAATTTAGAATAATCATAAATACCAAAATGTTGAAGCAAAACTATAATAAATATATACAAGTTTCAGAATTAGAAAGGAAAAAAGTCAGGTATATCAATTTCTGATTAGGTATTGGTAATGAAGGCACAGTAGTTCCTCTTATGAACCGCTTACTAATGTTAGCATTGTAAAGTTTGTGTTGTGATTTATACACTAGGAATGAGGTATCATTGTTATATTTTACTAGATCAGCAATATCTAATTTTTCTGATACAATATGCATAAATTGCATGGATGTGAATCTTATTAATGCTAGAGCAATAAAGCCCAGCTGAGATATAAAGTTAGTAATATACAAAAATCACATTAAAAGACAATGGACACTCATCATTTGAAATAATTAGATGAGGATTACAATCTATGAAATAAAATTACCTTACAAAACAAAAAAGAAAAAAATGATTGTGTGTGTGTCTTGATGTTGTAAGATTATTATAACATCTTTCAGTTTTGTTATGTAGAGAACTGAAGATCTCATGCTATAATTTTCAAAGCTGCTATTGATACTCAGTAACAATGTTGGCAGCAACAGAAAGGAATATTACTTGACAATGTCACAAATACTTCCTTAAAGGATAGTATAATAACAGCTAAAAAGTAGCACAACAAAATAGGAAACATTCAGAAAAATACAACATATTAGAGAAAATCTTTGCATTCTGGTTGTGCTCAAATGTTTTCAAGCAGCCAACTGCTCTTTCAAATGGATCTTAAGAACTTATTCAAAAACTAACAATTATTGACAGAATCCGCATGATGTAAATAGTTGGCTGCTAGAACTGAACATTTAACCACATCTATTGTCAAATAGAATATAATAAGAGCAAATGATGAACAAAGGATATGAAAATATGTTTAATATAAGGCAACATAAGAAGTTCCTTTTGAAACTTCAAAGTTCAGAAAGGATTAAAAATTATTCCTACAAACAAAGAACACATTTTCGCAATAATAGAGATATATAGATAAAATTTGATACAGATTAGAAATATGATTCATTTTTTTAATATGAAAAGTCAATCAATTATTTCTTTAAAAAGAAAATGTTTTCTTTGTTAGAATTCAAATAGTGATTGTGCCTTATACAGCTTAAAGTTAAAAAACATTGAAAGCAAACAAAATCATGTGAAAAGCTATAGTGACAACATGACATGATAAAAAGCCTAATGAGAACAAATGGTGTACAGGGTGGAGAGGTTAGCATTCAGGCATAAAGCCTTTTTGGAGAAGAGACAAATATTTTCAAAACTGATTACAGTGATTTTTCATTACAGAAAATTATTAAATGTTCTGAAAAGAGTCTTTAGAATTTTAAAATATCAGGCATCTAGCAACAATATTCACTACCTATGACTGAAACAGCTTTTATAAATACATTTAAATACTTCAGCAATTATCACAAAACTTAAAAGCACACCTGCTTTTATTTAAGCAGGTTTTATGTCTAGAATGATTAGAGAATGGAATATGTGACATCAAATATTTGAAGTTTTTTTTTTAATTTTTCTTTTTTCTGAGAATATAAAAATATACAATGCAAATTTATTATGCTTGTATATGCAAAAGGTGCTTTTATTTGGTTGCCTCAAGGTATGTTTGGTCTTAAATGCCTTCTTAAACACTTGTTTTGCATAGGTGGGTCTGATGAATTGAAAAGTAATTGCTCCAGTTTACACAATTTAAAATGTAACACTATGGGCTTTTGATTGCATAGATTCAGTAAAAAAGTGATTGCTCAAGATTTTATAAATCATACTTTGAATCATTCAAAATACATTGAAAACTTTGCATAACATACTAAATGGAACAGAATAATTTGAGAAAAAAATATGACATGAAGTGAAAATCTGAATACCAATAAATATAACAACACTATCCAAATAATGAACAGAATTTATTGAATATTTAAAAAGATGGTTTCAAGAACTCAGCTCAGCATTCAAATAAAGCTATGGTTAAAATAGTAACATATTGCATTTATCAACTCTGACCAATGATAAAACTATGAACATACATGCAAAAATTGTTCATGCACAAAAAGACCTCAATTCTACTATAAAAATTATTTGAAGATGATACCTCATGCAAAATGTGCTTTATTAAAAGCAACAACAATTTCAGTTAACAGTTTCCCCCAAAACAATATCAGCTGTCATAAGGGGAAATACTGTGCAATGAATAAAAAGGTGAAAGAATAGTGTTTGAAAAAAAAAAAAAATGTTTAAATGGTCACAATTAATAAAAATGTAGTAAAGAAAAATATGAACTAGATGGACAAATGGTTGAACATTTGAGATGCCATGCGGCTACTGACAGTAGGGCCTTCAAGGAAAGTGACAAAGTTTATATTCATTAACCACGTTTGCATCACAGAAATGGTTACAGTTTCAAAACTACAGTTGGTCAAATAAAGAAGGATAAATAATGGGAGAGATGAAAGAAAGCATTCTTAAAAAAAAAAATAAATAAATAAAATTTTTTTTTTACATATACAAAGATTCTGCATACAAAAATTGAAAAATGTCCTTACCCAATGCAAGATATTAACAGGTTTGGAAAAACACACAAAATTGACATTACTGAATGGAGCACATTTGTTTGGACACATCAACAAGCACACATGAAGGTAAAATCTAAATATGGATAGCATAATGACAATAATCAACCTTATGATTTTATGCATCTTTTTATTCCACCCATATCACCCCAACTCAAAAATAATAACCTGAAAATAAATGCTTAATTTAATTATGATGAGAACATATTCTATCACAAAACTTTATACTCAGATAAAAATTATTTTGTACCATGACATGACTATATTTAAACAAAGATGGTTTGCCAATTTTTTAATAAAAGTTTAGCATGAATTTTAAATGTTACATCTTTGAACTACTATGTGAAACTGTCCACTTTTGTTTGCAAATTATACAGCTAATGAAATAATTGTCATCCTCTTCCTCAAGACCCTTACAATTTAGCTCTTTCATCAGGATTCACTTTCAAATAAACACAGGAATTATCCCCCAAAATATAGTAATTAATTTTCAAAGAAGCACCAGGCTACAGTAGCAATCATTAACAATAGACATTACATATCAAGGTAATACTCATGAATAGTGACATTCCTAGAATGCTGGCGCTATTATAAATTTAAGAGAAATTGTATTCAATTGTTTTTATTACAACTTGATAAATCATGTTGACCATTATTTTTCACAACTTTTTTCTCATTTGAAACTATTATAGATTCTTTATACTCATTAAATGAGGAGTTCACATTGGTGCAACAGTTACTATTGAAGTGTTCTTGAAGTTTTGTTTTTTCTTTTAAATTAAAAAGATTTTTTGATAATAGTCAAAAAGTGTAATGAAACATGAATTACTCTAATCAAATTTAATTGGAAAAAAGATTGCTTATATATGTGTTTTAGTCCTCTTTAATATTTAATTATATTACTATATAATTATATTTTAATATTTTAAGAACATTAAGGAAGGTCTTTTAGCCTAGAACCTTTTGATGTCCATTATTGATTGAAGCCTGGTTCACATCTGTTGGGTTGAGGAGGGACATTCCATTTGAGGAAAGAGGAATGAATCTAATCTGAACATGCTATTAGTAAAAGCATTTCTTTGACCAGTTCCTTCTCCAGCTGGATATGCAAAAAAAAAAAAAAAAGAAAAAAAAGAAAAGTGCAACATGTGCAGTTGGTGCTATGAGATGTGCAGTTAGTTCACAGCTTTTAATCTACTATTACTATTCAAATATTGCTGGGTCATATGGGAAACTGGAAAGCATTAAAAATACATTTTTCTATTCATGGCTACCTTTTTTAAATTTATTTATTGAATCTAATCAGGTTTCATAGAGAGAACAAGTGTGTGTGTGTATATATATATATATATATATATATATATATACTTATTTTGATGTTTTGCTGATCAAATACACATCAAAGTTTAATAACACACACAAAAGAAAAATTTAAATATTTTATAAAAGTGCAATAAAATATACTAATTTATATAAGATTTTTTATATATTACACCCACACAAATTAAACAGCTAAAGGAGAAATGACCATGTCTAAGTAACACACAAGAGAGGAGGGGTTAAAAAAAAAAAAAAAAAAAAATAACAGTTTAATGCTAGTAACATTTGACATATTTTATACACATAACAGAGAGGAGAGCAAAAATCTATCACCTAAAATGACGAGCAGAGGGAGGGAAGAGGTCCAGTCTCAGCCATGCAAATAATAATGAAAACCAACACATGCTGCTTGCTTTGATGATAGTAACAGGAAACAGTGTGACCAGAACAAAATACAGTCAAAAGAACAGTGTCTGCAGCAGCCAGAGGGGCCGGAACAGATGGCAGTACCTTGAGTAGTTTCTTCTTCTCTGGAGACAGGCCACCCAAACCCTTTCTCTTTCCCTTCTTTTTCTTCTCTTCCTCCTCTTGCCTTCGTCGGGCAGCCTGGGCAGAGAGGTTCTTACATTACACTCAGCAGACAGGCGTAAAGTATTGGACTAGACTCTGGCCACATTATTAGAGGGACTGATAGATGTAAATGCTACTTTGATTCACATCTATGCTGTAAATTGAATTGGTAGCAACTTGCCAAGAATGTTTGCATTATATATTCTGAACTGTATTAGAGTGAATGTCTAATCAGTCAATTATAGCATTCTAGTTTTGTTAAGATTAAGTTTAAAAATTAATAAATAAAAATAAAATAACAATAAAATAATGAGAATATTGTGATTGCAAATTAATTACATAAAAAAAAAAAAAATGGAAATAAAAGATTTTATTTGGACTAAGCTACTTGGTAGAATTAATTCAAAATTAAATAAATCCCCCCATTATTAAATATCAGTGTGACAAAAAAAAAAAAAAAAAAAAAAAAGAAAAGAAGAGTAATTACTGACTATATATATATATATTAGAGAGAGAAAGAGACTTTTTGGCAAACATTCGTGACTTGTTGATATCTAAAACATTCACAGTTTGGAAGTGTGCAATAAGCAGCAATCCCCCATCCATCAGTCCCGACGTGAAGCAGAGAATAGAATATTACTAGAAGGGACAATTTTAAACTATCTTATGTTCCATATAAGTGCAGATAAAACTTTAGTGATAATGGACAGGAGAATGCAATAGGAAGAATCAGTCTCTTTGGTAAGCTTTGGACACTGGAAGGGATGTAACTAGTGTAGAACAAATCAGGAGAGACAAGAATGAAAATATCATCTTCAGTAAAGGAAAACTGAAGCAGTAGGCAAAAAATAAAAAAAAAATAAATAAAAGAAAATGCAAAAGATAAAAAAAAAAAATTGTTATGACACAATATACCGTCACACTGGTTCCAGTAATAATTCAATTTTCTTTTTAGCCAAATTTGCTACAAATCAAACAGATGAAATCAATTTCTAGCACATTACTGCTACAAAAAGATTTACTATTCTAAAGAAAAAATTCCACGGCATCATACAAGGTTATTTTTGGATCACCCAGTCTGTGAGAATTGTTTAGATAACTTTAGCAAAAAGGTGATGTCAGCCACAAATCTGCCATTCACATAGAAAGTCCCACATGCATTGTAAACACTTTCAAGAGTTACTTGGAACTTAATAAATTTAGGTGTTTACTTCAAATACCTAGTATATTTCATCTAAAATATCAACTGGTATTAGCAAATGTGTATAATTTATAAACTTTATAAAACTAACAAAGCTTGAAAAGAAAATATATAACATTTTCAATGCTCTTTAACTGTCTTGTTTTACACTGATAAATATATGTATTTAAAACAAAAAATAACAAATGAGTAAAAACTAAAAAAAAAAGAAAAGAAAATTTGATATGAAAAAAAAGAATAATGATTGCTTTACTGTCAAGGCATAACATTTTCAAGGGAGATAATTTGAACCGTATATAAATCAAATCTACTGATAGTTAACACAAGCAATATTAACTTTTGAAAATTAAAAGTTTGTGTTATTTGTGCATTACACCTAACCATACAGTAGCTAACTGGTTTATAATCAGTATAAAGTACAAAAGAAAATATACATAAAAAGCACATTTTTATAAAGTGCTGAAATTATTCAACATAGCAGAATTCAGGCAGTAAGGAAAGGAAAAAAAAAAAGATGTATTCAATAAAATAAAAGCAGCTTACGAAGTCTCAGATAGCAAAAATAAAAATAACCACAAAATTATTAAAGCATCAAAAGAAAACTTAATAAAATTCTAACTTGTTCAATAAGGAAAAAATAATTAGAATTATGTTACAATTAAGTAATTTCAATAAGATATTAAATTCTATTCCTTATCCAAACAAATGACAATTTTAATGAATACATTCATATTTGATGAAAACTCACTAGAAGCTAGCAGAAAAAGAAACATTCAATGTAGACAATACAGAATACTGATTTTTTTAAAAAAATTCCAAACAAAAAGGGTCTATGAAATCCAAAGAAACTTGCAATGCTGAAGCATTCCAACAGAATTATGATATCTATGCATTTTGCAGCCCTTAGAAGAAATACACTCAGTTTTTAAAAAGAGAAATGAGACATGCCAAACCAAATGTTGCTGTTGCATGAAATATAAAATGAAAAGCAAAAGAGACAAAAGGATGAAATATCAGAAATAGATAAGCAAAGATTGAGAAGTTGGAAACTATTAAAAGTAGGTTATTTTAAAGAGCCAATTTTATAAGTTGATTGAATGTATGAATGAAGACTTGGTGTTATATTTATGCTCCAAACAAAATAACATTTTCACCCTAACAAAGTGTGAAATTTTAAGTGCTTTAGTTGTCTCTTTTGATCTCAGACATCTAAACCTAAAAACAATTTTATCAAAAAAAAAAAAAAAAAAAAAAAAAAAAAAAATGATTGTTAAGTATTTCAATAAAATTATTCTGCAAAAAGTTTTTTTTATTTAAATTTCTTAATGAAAGTGATCATAACTAGAAAGTATGCAAGATGTGATGCCAAAGACAAGCACTAGTACAGTGCAGTTCCACATAAAAATATTTGTGAGCTACTAGCAGAGTTCACAAACAAAAATTACCATGCATGTTTTTTTTTTTCAAAGAAAAATTGGAAGTCTGTATTAGATTGCTTTTAGGACAAAACATGCTTCCTTTCTTTTGTTGTTAGCAAATCCTAAAAGAAAAAAATCCCTAAAAATGCAAATAAATGTAATCATTCTAATTTTGGGTAAAGTATGATATTACAATCACAAAGATTCTTAGAAAACTAAACTCTTAAAAATGTTTCTAATCATACTTCTGAAAGATTACAAAATGATTCTGCTAAATTCAAGGGCAATATTTTTCCAAGTGAACTCCTCTTAAATTTCCAGTGTTAACATACTACAAGTTAAGCTAAGTTTTTAAATTGAATATTTACGAAAATTAAATTCAGTTTAAATAGGTACTTGTTAGATGTGACATGTTTCACGAAACATCTCATGACGACTGAACTTATGAGTAACAACTTGTGAAACAAGCATGTCAACCATAACTTTATGGCAAGTACATTTCTTATAGTTGTTTTCTTCAAATAATGTAAGGGGGATAATTCGGAGGATTTATATAAAAGAAAGGTAAAAAAAAAAAAAAAAAAGAAAAAACTATCTAGCAATGCTTAAAGAACGATAGAAGTAGTTGTGAAGATGATATGTGTAGTTATGTTTCATTTTCAAAAAGAATTAGTCCTTTCAATTAAAAATTTCACAGGATATGCTCCTATCTTGAACACTAGATGCACTTAATAACAAGCAAACTTCAGTCATCTCAAATATAATTAGCAATTAAGGATGCAGATTATATTAAATAATTTCAGTTTTAAATTGACTGTAATCAATAAAAAGCTATATTTTTAAAACTTCTCATTTCCGATGATGGGTTGATAATTGTATTCAAAGCAAAGGGCAGAACTGGGGAAGCTGGAAATTATGCAGCTAAACAGTGAAATCAAGGTTATTTGGTACAATAGCAATAATAGCAGCACACACTTGATTTCCAGCATTTAAGAAAAAAAGAATTTTTTTTTTTTTAAAAGTCAGTAAATGCTGCACAAATCCAGTTAGTTTCAAAATGTAAGTTCTGCTAGATGTAACAATTAGATTTCAAATCTACACTGATAATCATATGAGATACTTTTGGAAGAAGAAAAAAAATCTCAAAATTACATGCAATGTTTTTTTTGTTAAACATTAATTGCATTGGGTTTTTGCTTGTTCATGCTGACCAGGCATTTTTTGTACAAAAGCCAACTGGTTAAGTGGCTTGTTCAAACAAACACAGATGAGGATTACAGAAGTACTATTCATGTGCCTTTGTGTTACACAGATAATAGTCATTGAACATGTTTTTTTTTAATTTTATTGTAGTGCACATGAGTATTTCTCTCATGATATTAACTGGTCAATACGTAAATATCAATTAAACAGAATAAACTTTAGCTAACCAATAACTTACAATTACTATGTGAAAACTTACTTTTAATCAAACATGAAGATTGGATGGTACACATATATCGCTCTATATGAATCAGAGGAAGACTTGATGCATTTGTCACAGTCAGTGTTCAAATAAGACGGTACTGGACAAGTATAACTCACAAGATTATAAATACAACAAAAATAAGATAAACAAATATAAATGAAATGAGCTTTTCCAATGTCAATTTCACAAACTTTTGTTTGCAGCAATTTGAATGGAAGAAAATCTTTTCAGAATCATTTAAAATTCAAACAAGTATATACATAAATACTTTGTGTGCATCATTTCTAAACACTAACTAGACAATTACATGAACAACAGTAGCTCTAAAAATATTATATTTGTAAATCACCATGTCTGGACATTTTTCCTTCAGGAAAATAGTCCTTTATCAGATAGGAAAAGTTTTTGCAAATTTTTAGTGTAAAAGAATTGTAGAATATTTTTTAAATATTTTTCTCCCTTTGCATTCAAAGTTTAAATGGTCTTTGAAGAAATTCAAATTGGTAACATTATTATAATGAAATGAAAAGAATAGTTTCCAAATCAAAAGCAAACAGTGAAATTTAGATTGCATCTCTAAAACTGGACACAAACATTAACAACAACAAATACTGGGAAATTTAAAGAGTATAGAGATTAAAGTGTAGTAAAATAATACTACCTCAGATGTGGAGAGTCTGACAAGAACATTCCACCAAGCAGACAATAGCCATGCTTGTTAAAAATTAGTCATAGCAATGACACAACCTACAAGTCACTATACAAATCTCACAGACAGAAGAAGGATGAAAATATACAATTTCCTACAGTTCAAAAACCAAATTTTTAAAAATGCTTAAAATCTTTATTTTATCAGAATCTGAATTATTACATAGAAGGAAACAGTTGTTCCTTTAATGTTTAGGATTCATCCCTTCAGTGAACAATCTTTTTTGAAAAGAGGACAGGATGTAGAGGGAAGTGATGTTTAAAAGATAATGGTGGGATTTATTTTCCAGGTAAATGTGATAAAATATTTTAAAAATCAAAATCAGTAAATATAAATAAATGAATAAGAAAAAAGAGAAATGAAAAATACACCCATCATATTTGAAGAGCATGCATTGATATGGGAAAAATCTATTTTGCAATTCTACAACACCAACAAAACAAATAAAATCTCACATTTTACACACAATTTGAAAATGTGCATCTAACTATGGTCAGCAGTTCAAATCTTTAATTTTTGTAATCTGTAGAACATGTTGGTGTGTGGCAAGAAAAAAAAAGGATAGGAGTTGAAAAATAGAGTGAAATGCAAAGAATGTGAATATGTACTTGAAAAATGAAGAGTGATGGGAAACAAATTAATGTGATGAGAAGAAAGCTGATTTAGCATGAATAATGAGAAGCAAACAAATGAAAGAGTCTAAAAAGCTATAGCAGAAATTAATAATTAAGATTATCTTACCTCTTCCTGTCTTTTTTTCCTTTCAGCCTCTTCACGTTCCTCTTCTTCCTACACAACAAAGTTTTTATCATCTTTATAGTTAATGGACATAACATTTCATTTGGTTTGATAAACAGTCATACTTACCTCTAAATCATCAAGTAAATCAAGTTAAGTTTATGAATCTGGATAATTCATGTGCAATTTAAGTTTAACAATTTTAGCATTAAAATAGTTGGCATTAAAGATTAATGAGAATTTTATGTCAGACATTTTTCTTAAATCAGATTAACATTATTTCCATAATAAACATTTTAATTAAGAATAAATTATTAGGATTATAGTTATATAAGCAAATATCAGTGAAACATTCTACCCAGCCGTCTGTACAGGCACAAGAATTTTCACTTGAAGATATTTTACTGTTACTGAGAATAACAAATGAGATGTACAAACCAGCTGGAACTGACATCTGAAGTAAAAAGTCTCAAGAATAAGTGACAAAAAATTTTACATTTCCAGCAAATTTATCTTTAGACATGTAATTGAACAATGCTGTTTAAGAAAACTGCATTAGAAAACATTTGTTAAAAATAAGAAATCATGTATATTTACTATCAATTAAGTTTGGAAAGTTCCAAGATATTCAGAATTTTACTTTTGTTTTTCTATTTAAAAAGGCTACATTAATGCCAGAATATTCCAATGATAAAACGATGCAGAGTTTATCTTGATTTACAAAGCTCAAACAGTTTAATTAGCCTTTTATTAGACAGTAATGAAAATGCAATTTTCTTGAAAAGCATTGATAATCTGACTGACTTTTGAAGCCCACAGAAAAAAAAAAGCAATAAATAGAAAAAAAAAACCTTAACAGATGATATAAATATGATAATCATCTAAGAGATTATCCTTGTAACTAATAAGTAGAGAAAATAGTCTTCATGAGACAATGGAATGAACCTTTCTGATATTATTTCTACAATAGCATGCAAACATGCATAAACAAAAATATTTGAAACATGCAGAGACCTACAAATCTTACAGGACTGTTTTTTTTTCATTATTACTTATGTGGTAATAATAAATGGATAAATTACATAAGTGATAAATAGAATACAAAAAAGAAAATTGTTTGTGGGCATTTGAACTGAATGATAAAAACATAGAACATCTGAGGATCAACCAGATGTGTGCAGTATTAAGATTATTTAGAATCATGAAATAAGTTTCTGACATGCAGTGGAATCAATTAATTTAAATAGTAATCAATCTTGATAGGTCAGAATATGAAGATATTTTACAGCATATTTATAGTAAATAAAGTTAACTGTAAACCACAAACACTTTAGTGAACAAAACTGGATAAATACAAATTGCATAGCAGAATTTATTTTAAGTATTCAGAAAAATCTTAACATGACAGTTTTGAGCTGATCTAAATTTAAAGAATTTATTGAACAAAAAGATCAGATTTTTAAGTAAAATGCATACACGGTCTATTGTTATCCCCCCCCGACCTCCCCGAAAAAAAGTTTATTCTTAATTCTGATTACAAAGCAATAACTCTTGGTTTGGAAATTACCTTTTGAAAATATAAAAGAAGAAAATTCAATAATTGGGGGTTAAAAAAGCCAAACAATATTTTTATATTCCAAACTATCAATATAATTGTGTACAAATGACCTTTTTTAATCCAGCTGAAAGTGATTTATAAAAACAATTGATATTCTATTAGATGTATTCATGCAAGTAGCAAACTAATTTTATTGATTATTCAATAAGTTACATAATTAAATTTAGTTAAATTTTAGTCTATTGAAATGAATAGAATGTTGCAGCTGCAAGAAACCTTTAATAATACTGGTTTACAAAGAAATTTAGGCAAGCATAAAAATAGGTGTGCTAACCTAATTTTTGGGGTGCTGATTTCAGATATGAAATCCATTTTCAGTTTTTAAGACATACATATATGTAAAATTTATACATGTACATGCATTCAAGACTGCCAGTTGTGTCCTATTTAGGACATTGTATTGTCTTTTTTATTAATTTTAAATTTTAGGAATTTTTTTTTTTTTTTAAATGATAAAGGGCCATCTATGCTACACTTAACTGTAGTGAAATGAAATCCTCTTTAAATTCGAATGCTCAGTACACAGGTACATAGCCATATATATTTCCATATCTTTGTAAGCTAATACACATCTCTACAATAGCTTCAATCATTTCAAAACGCTGAGGACGTATCAACAAGGCAAATTCATTCTGTGCCTATATGTGTGGAGAATTCATGACAATTGCACAGCTCCAAACAATTACTTCTCTCCCAAGAAATGCTTACTTTGATTATTTTGACTGGAGATCAGGACAAATCCTGGGCTCCACACAATGTTGTAAACCCTGTTACAATGGATTAAGTGCATACTTTCATGGAAAGAAAGCAGCCTTCAACTTTTTTGTCCCGATGGTCTAGAGAGAGAGAGTAATGAAGCTATGTAGATGATTGTTATTTTTGTCTAACAAATACAAATGGCTTCAATGCTGCTTAAAAAAAAAAAGAAAAGAAAAAAGAAAAAAAAAGGAATATCCCAGATTCCTTATTCCTTCATCATACAAAAATTTGCCTTCAGAGGAAATTTCTGCCAAGTCGGTCTCTTCTAAAGACAACATCATTGTTTATTCAGGAGCAAGTGGCAGTTAGCCCATCTGGATCATCCAGGAGGACTTTGCCGATTTTGTACCTATCTAAGAATAAGAACTCCTAGTATCCCAGCTTATGCAGTGGAACCTGGTCACAGCAGATGTAAGGATCACCAGTTTCAGGACACAAAACAAGTATTTCACCTCATTCTTTGACAAGGAAAACAGGTTGTACTACTGCAGAGCTTCTTATCTTAAATGAACTGAGAGCATGAAAAGCATTTAAGTCAGTCTGCCATGGTTTCCTTGGTAATACACAGGTACCAGATTACCAAGAGTGTATTGAATTGTTACAAGTTTATGAGGTTACGGAATGCCGAATGTCACTCAAAATTCACTTTCTCCACTCCCACAGCTAACTTCTTCCATTTGTACCTCAGAGCAGTGAGTGATGACTATGGAGAAAGGTTCCACCAAAATATTAGTAAGATGGAAAGAAACTACCAAAGCAAGTAGAACCACAGCATGATAGAGGACTTCTACTGGATACTCCTGTGTGATATACTGGATGCAAAGTACGACATCATAAAAAAAAGAACAACTTACATAGTCTGTTGTACTATGATGTTTATGTAGGATATTATTCAAGTAATTTAGTTCCATCAGTGCTCTGTATCTATGCTATTTTTTGTAATATGCCTTTGTAATAGATAAGATGTGAAAGCTAAAGAAGTAGAAGTAATAGAGCAAAACTGTTCAGAAATTTTAATTCAGCCCATGAAAATTAGTAAAAAACACCTATTTACAGACTTGCCTCAGAGAAAAACAATTTTTTGTAAACCCATGTAGTCAGAATAATTCTTGTTTTGTATATTGCCTTAAAATAAGTTTGTTTACTTTTATATGGTTATGAATTGAATTTTTCAGATTGTCATTTTAGTAATCATATCATTTATGCAATGCAAAGCAGAACAGATACAAAAGTTACTTGACTGGAAAGAGTAAAACCTGCATAATTTCATTTTGCTACATTTTTTCAAAAAAGGTTTTAACACTAATCTCTGAAAAATATTCTCAGGATTCAAAATGTAAGAATTATGCAAATTCTACATTATTTATAAAATTTGATTCCTGTCAAGATAAAAGAAAACAGAAACAAAATGCACTTACATGAAAATCATTCAATTTAAATTGACTTTCATTCAAGGAATATGTTGAAGCAAGTGAATGATGGCCAGTGATGGCTGCATCTTTGGTCAAGTGGTTAATAGAATCACATGAATTATGGAATGTTGGATTTTTCAAAGCATGCATTTGGGTAGGTGAAATGAGTTCAGGCTGTGACCATAGTGAAGTGTTCTTTAGTGGAGTAATTTGTTTGGAAGTCTTTTCTCTTAATTTTCTGTTTGCAGCAGAAACAGTGGAATGTTTTGGTTCTTTATCAGTAGAAGACACAGGTGGCCATCTTCCAGATATTGGAGCAGCAGTGATATGGTTGGCTCTTGGATTTGTTGTTGGAATACCAGTAAGGTCTTTTGAGTTGAGTTTCTGAGCTATGGCTGACGAGATGCTTTCTCGAGCAGTTTGTTTGGGATCAGCAGGTGGTGGCCATCGAGAGAGGACATCACGTTTGATTTCTGTTCTATTTGCATTAGTCTGATCAAAAGAATAGTGGGTAAGAGATTCTGGTACTTTAGTTTTAAAGATTTCAGCTTTATATGCACAAGGTGAACATTTGACAACACTTTTCATACCAACAAGAGGCTTATCCTGAGAGGAAGAATTTGGATCATTTGTAGCTGAAGAAAGATATTTTTCAGACAAATCTTTAACTAGTCTTCCTCTTTCAGGAGGCCATTTACTACAATTATTAATATTTTCTTCAGAGGATTTCTTCTCATTTGCTAATGATGACCGTTTTTCAGGCAAACTAACTGCATTGTGAACTGATATGTTTTTAATGTGAGCACCCGTTGTTGAGGTTTTACCAGTCATTTCAAATTGAATATGAACTTCTTTCGGTTTTTCAACTTTAGAATTAGAGTCTTTCTTAGATAATCCATTGATCACAGGGTGTGTTGAAATTTTAGCAGAACCTATAAAACCCTGGTAAAAGGAAAAAATAAAGGGGGAAAATGGAAGATTATCTGTTTTTTTTAAACAATTTTTTTAGCTGAGATTCACTAAAGAGTAAAAATTTTCTTTTGTGTAGATTTTCAAATATAAATGTGAATTAAAATAAAATTTGTAAATAAGCTTTATAAATTTATTTTTAGCATTTATAGAAAGATTACTTGTATATGAAAGCTTAAAAATCATGATTTGCCGGCTGATAAATTAAACTTGTAAAATCAACTCCTAAAGAAATTCACATTATTGTATCAAATGCTTACTTTGCTGTGTCTTTCATTTTTATTTCGTTTTGG